GGACGGGTGGAATATGATCGACCCGCCCCGTACGCCGTATGGGATGAAAATTAGCGCCTCCGGTGCCTTATTGACGGGCTGCTCGCGTCTGTCGCGGATGTCGAGACTTTCGGAAGGGTGCGATCCCGTCATGCCGTTTTGGAGCCTATCGACTCCTGGAAGACCGTTAATGGCGGGGTTAAATCATGGATAGCTGGCCAGACGGACACCTCGTCCAGGCCGTCCCCCAAATCTCACAACGACGTCGGGAGGCGAGAGGGCAAACGGCGCTACAGCAGGCGAAGGTTTGCGCTTGACCAAGACGGTCCAGGGGTCCCGTTGCCCCATTGGATTTGGATTCTTCAGTGGCATTTTGGCTTCCAAGCCCTTCCTTGCCACGTGCTGCGAGTCGTAGAGGCCCTTGGAGTCATCTCTCAGGCATCGTGCCACTCGAGCGGCCTGCAGGGAGACCAAAACGATCCAGCGGTACGGGAAACGAGATGAAATCGGGTCGTTATCTCGCAGCAACAAAGAGATTTCTCCAGGTTGCCCATGAGTCTGCCTGAGCTGGGGTGCGAGGACGTAGGGGTCATGTGTCGTTGGAGCGTGGATGTTGATCCAAACACGGCTGGACGGCAAACATGGCAAACTTGTCATTCGATGCCCTCCATCAAGATGAGAGGTTTGCGCACTGATGTAAGCCCAGCTGTTGACCGTACTGCGTCGTCTGCTGGATCTCTGGATGTGAGATGGAGGCGGAGCGGACGGCCTCAGTAACACGACATGCCGTTTGTGCGACTACTGCATAGTAGCGTGCGCATGGCGTAGAGGGAGGTCGTTCAATCAGGGATGCTACCGAGAGGAGGGACGGGAAGACCCAATGGAATCTGGTGAACCCCAGACTTGTTGCGAACGATGACGATCGTAGTGGTGTGGTAGCTGTGGCGGTAGCGGTAGCGGTTCCTGAGCTGAGGGCGGTGGGTGTCGTGCCTTCGTGCGTAAGAGGTTGTTTGGGTGCTGACGTTGGGAGTCGGCGTCAATGCAGACATATCCGCGTGGTCTCGTGCGAGGCGAATGATTGGCGATGATTGTTTGGAGTCGGCGTGCAAGCAAAGCAGCGCAGCAGCGCAGCAGCGCAGCAGAGAGCGAGCAAACTTGTCTCCCATGCTCTCGGTCAGGTCATGGACAATAATAGCGTGGTAACGGGGTGGGAACCCTTGCGCTGTGCGACAGACCTGAATGGGGTTGCGCAGAGGAGGAAGGGATCCCCTATTTGGTGATTGAACGCGGATGAGGAGAAGAGGGGGTTTTCTGGTGCGTCCGATATTGATGAGAAGAAGGGCGATCCCAGGATTGGGGGACTGTCGACAGCATCATCCAAGCCGGGAAGATGGGATTCGACGAGGCAGAGGCAGAGGCAGTCTGCAGGGTGAAGAGAGAAAAACCCGGGCGGCCGTTTCCTTCCTTTGGAAAGATGCACTTGCCGGGTTCAGGGGGGGAGGAGAAAAAAGGACGACCGGGGCTCGAAGACCGGGGTGGTGGGCCAAGGGCCAAGGGTCAACGGCCGTGGGCAGCTCGTCAAGGAAAAGAGGCACCAAAAGGCCAAAAAAGACACCGGTTCGGGGCTCCTGGTCTCGATGAGCAAAGGCGACTGGCTGAGAAGGGCAGGCGTGGAAATTTCCAACCTGCCATCCGGTGGAGGAGAGGATGAGAATGAGTCGCAGGTACTTTGATCGCCTGCATATTTGCTGCGTGTGATGATGTACCTGCGGCCTCCACCGGTTGGTCAGGTACATCAGATTGCCTGCGGCCGTGTACCTCGAATGGCCTGCATGTGAGTCGAGGTGAGGTACCTCAGTTTGCTCGACTTGGGGTTGACGAGCCGTGGTAGGAGAGTGAATTGCCTTTGCGGTGTTGAGACGCTACATGTCATGTGTGTCTGTATGAATACCATCACCACTATGAAATTCTCGCGGGGGAGGCCCTCCTCCGCCTTACGCTACACCTCTCTGCAGACACTGAATCAAGCCCACCAACTTCAAGAGAGGGGCGTTCATGTGCAGGCAAGGCAAGAAACAAGGCTTTTGCGTTTGCCCACAGACGGTGTTGTAAGCCCGGGGTGTTCCTCTGGCGGCCAGTTCGTGATGGGCATCTAATTCCTGATGCAATGCACAACGGACGGCTTGTGCGAGGTACTGAGTACTTTGTACACCATGACAGACCGGCTGCAGAATACTTAAATTGTACCCCGTTTATGAGAGTTGTGAAGCGAGGAGAGGGGGTACCGAATTGTATCCCGGACGAGGTGTCATTGGCAGAGACAAGAGCACGGTCCCCTCGCCAAACTCTCATTCTGGCCGGGTTGACACGGTCGATGACCAAAAGGAAAAAATGACAGTGAAAAGGTGAGAGAGGCAAAAACATCGGATTCATCAATCTTCATGCCCGAGCAGAGTGGACTTGTCACTCACAAAGTTGATCAGCCGTATTTAGCTGTCAAGTCTGCAATTGGGACAAAATAGACACCACTCGACGGTAAACGGAACACGGAGGACACAGGCCTCGTTGAAAATGATGATGGTACATAGACGAAGTTACCCAGATGCAAATCCAATAAAAGCCCCGGTTTTCCTGCCTATTGTCTCCTTGTTGAATGCCTATCATTGCCATGCCGTGTGCGAAATAGCTTTTTTACGAACGACACGGACGCCGTAGTCGTCTCCGTCGACATATGTACGGATATCTCCTTCATTACCGGAGGCGAAAGGGGAAAGGGGCATTATTGGCTATTTGGCACAAGATTGGAAGCGGCTCAACCATTGAATCGCTAAGACAATAAGATCCGCCTCGTCTTGGGGTCGATTATCCAATCCAACATTCTACGGACTCGGCGCCGGTCAATAGTCGCAGGTCCACGCCCGGCACCTCCTTTTATTCTCCGCGACGGATAACTCGTGGCGGATTGGGATTACACTGGACCGATCATCTCTCCTGAAGCCCACCTTGGGCCTTCGCGGAAGTCAGAACCCGGTCCGTACAGAGCACACGAGGGACAACTCAGATTCGGCTTCTCGAGATCCATCGCATCTCCAAAAAGTCTGTTCCTGGGGCACGCTTTGGTGTCCGATCGTCCTGCGCCGCGCAAGCAGGGCAAACAACACGGCCGTCCTCACGCACAGCCTGTTGTCCAGGTCGTCCGTCGCCGGCCTGCATAAGGGCACACCACTCGCTGCCTCTTTTGGTCTTCCAGTGACTGTGACTGCGAGCAAACACTCATCCACGTCCGAAGTCCCGAATCCTGACAACGCGAGCTTGGGTTTGGTCGTTCTAGAGGTCTAGAAGGGCCACCGGGCACGTACCACCTCCTCAGATACGGCCTCGCTGGCGGCGCAGTCAGTATTCGTGGCCATGGGTTGAATAGGAGAGAATGAGTCCGATAGACAAGTCGACCAACCTTATGACCAAGCAAGGTATCTCTTGTCCAGCCCAAGAAACTCTAAGGTGCGATTCCGGCACGCCTTGGATGGTGATGTTCGTGTTCAAGGGTTCAGATGTCCATCCACGCTAGGCACCGTACCGTACACTTTGAGATGCATATCCATTGCCACAGTATTCATCGTTTCTGCAACGCATCAGCAGGAAGAGGAAGAGGAAGAGGAAGAGGAACAGGAACACAGCCATGCCAGGGCTCCCTACAGCCTACAGCTACAGGCTACCAGGTTTAGCCGAACAAAGAAGCCAAGGGGAAAACGTGCAGCGGTACAGACCTGACGGCAGAGGTACCTGAGATGGTACGGCAGGTCAGGTACCAGACCAAAGTACCTCACCCCTGGTCGGCCTCTTTCACCACCTCCCTTTCCCTTTCCACCTCACGTCCCACGTCCCACGTCCCACGTCCACGTCCCATCCTGAGTTGCCTTAGCTGCGTCCCACAGACAGGCCTCTTTTCCCACTCCTCATCAACCCCGTCCACGCCTACGTCTGGTCTTCCATTGAGTCTTTGCCTCTTCGCTCTATATACTTCCTCTCTTCCCCGTTTCTGCGCCCTCTCGCAACACATAGTACCTTTCCCTACCGTGCTGGCGGGCGCTCCCGACAAGACAAACCCAGAACCAGAGAACCAGGACCAGAACCATCCGACTTCTCGTCTTCACCACCCTCTTTGTCGACCTGACACGCATCGGATACTCGGATTGGAACACCCATTTCCCCCAATTGCGGCCCTTTTCTCACCTGCTGCCAACGGCGCCGCCAATCGCATACAAAACCACCGCTGCCGCTGCTGCTACCACGACTAAACCCGTCAGAGTCTGACCCGACTCCTCTACTGGCCACCGGCCAATTCATTTCGACTAACACACCTGTAACGACCGAGACACGACGCATCATCCGCACACGACGAATTGAAGAAGACTCCATCAGAGGAACCAAGGAAATCTACCGACTTGCGACGACGCGCGAACCTGCTGCACCTGCACTGCTCCCGCACCCGCACCCGCTTCCGCCAACGCTTCTTCTGCCTGAACTCTCGATTGACTTTTTCGGCTGTTCTTCTCGACTGCGGTTTTCCCGTTTCTGTCAAACCACCATCATCGACCACCCTGCAGTCATGCACCTTCAGTCTGCATCCCATTCGGCCCAGCATTGTTGATACAACCATTTGAAACACCCTGCCAGGCGTCCCAGTCCCACGTCCTTGCGTGACACCCGCCACAGCCACCCACCCGGGGCCGACATCAGGTCTTTTCTTCTTTTTGCGCTTTACAGCACCTCGCCAGCATCCACGCCTTACCAGTCACGCGGGTGGAGCCCCCAGATCGTCTGCCTCTCTCGTCTATACCGGCCGCCGCTCTGATATCACCTTCCGTTCTTAAAATATACTTCCCGCCCAGCCCTCCTTCACACCAACCCGACCTCTCCTACGATTCGACGATTCGCGCAAACCCCGACCTACGCCATTCACTCGACCAGCCGATCCATTCACCCACGACATCGCCTGCTCTCCATCCGGCCGCTTCCTAATGTTTAGTCGGTCTCGCAAGGGATCGAAACCCTTCGGCTTCGGAAGCTCAAGCAGCAACAAAGACGGCCAGGGCAACCACCACCTCGATTTCGGAATCGTGAGCCCCAAGGCGGTAAAGGACCCCTACCGTCCTGGAACCGCCACCACGACGCGATCGAACAACACCTGGAACGATTGGACGGATGCACCATCTTTCCCTGAAAAGAGTACGTCCACCCTTGACTTCTGCTTCAGACCGTCCCGAGCGCAGCGAAACGCCTTGTGCGTCTCAATTGCTGTCGAGCCTGCCCGTGCTTTTAGACATTTTGCGCAAACTTTCCGCTGACAGCTTCCACCACAGACGTCTCCATAGCCGCAGGTCGCGGGGCCATCCACCGACCAGAAACAGCTACCAGCTCCTCAGAAGCCCACCGGAGAGGCGAGAGCTACTCATCCAGCACCATGGCATCGGGCGCCGGTAGGAACAGGAGGGAGCGCACCTTTGTGGGGAGCGAGTGCGCCGTCTGCGAGGAGCCCTTGGAGCACACGCTGCGCGGGGAGCGCATTCTGCAGTTTTCATGCTCACACGTTTCGCACGAGGCATGCTTCTACGAGTTCATCCGCGAGTTCGAGTCGCAGTACTGCCCCTCGTGCGACGCGCCTCTGCACCTTGACACTAGCCGGGGCGGCAATGTCTTGGATATCGGTAGGCCCCCTCTGCGCTCCTCCCTGTCTAAGACATCGCTGAATTCTCATGTCGCCACAGAGAAGATTAGCAACCTGGTGCGATCGGTTTCATCTACCGACAACAGGTCAAATCACACGCCCACGCCGACGGCCCAGGCATGGGAAAACCCGACGCCGGTGCCGCAGCGCCCCACCAGCATTGAGTCGAACCAACGGAACATGCCCAGCACGCATACCCGCGAGAGCGCGCCGAGGAGTATCGGGCGCGACAGGGAAAGCAGCCAACCGCCCGCGTCGGAACGATACGGCCCTTCGAGACACGCGCGCAGCGACAGCGAGGCCACCGGCGTCGCCTCGTCTGGTGGATATCCCGAGACGACGCAGAGCGGCCCGCCGCGCCGGCACGACTACGATGTCCAGGCGATGGAGACCACGCCGGGCAGCCCCCGCGCCATCACGAGAAACCCGATTCCCGCGCCGACCGTCACGGTGCGCTCAGAGTTCCCCACCATCAACCGGTCGCGGACGCAGCAGACCTTGACCTGCCTGATTACCGTGGAAGTGCCCGACAACAAATGGCGGCCCGACCCCGAAGACCTTGGGTCCGCTCCTCCTGGCCCGCCCGCCGTGAACGCCAGAATCGACGAGGCATTCGCGAGACCGCCGTCCCCGGCCCGCAGCGCACCGCGATTCTACCCCTACGAGTCTCGGGAGGTGCTGGAAGAAATGACCGAGACCCTGAGGAATCGCGTGGACAACTGGCACGGGCTGGATTTCAGCAGGTGAGATTCAATAAGCGGCTCTCGGCCAATAAGATGACTGACACTCTCCAGATTCGGCAAATTGCGCCTCTACGGCACATTGCGCGTCGGAAAGGACAAGGCCTCGTGGCAGGAGCTGGAATGCTTCCTGTTCGCCGAGATGCTGATCTGCGTCAAGGAGAAGAAGGTGCCCATCCCCGGGCAGTGGGACGAGAACGGCATGCCCAAGAAGACAACCAAGTGCACGCTCAAGGGATCAATCCTCATCAAGAAGCACCTCAACGAGGTCTCAGAAACTGGTAATAGTGAGTGCCCCTCGAGAGGCCACAGAACCTGGCGCTAATCAATCCACGCAGTCGATGAGAACATTCTCACGCTCAACCTCTCCGTGGCCGAGCTGCCGCAGTTCCACCTCCGCTTCGAAAACCGCAACCAGCTGAAGCTGTGGCACCAGGCTCTGCTCGACCTGAACGCCGTCGAGACGTCGCCTGTCCGCAGCCCGGAGTACGACAGGGGCGAATTCTCAGAGACGGAGGAGGATGACTGGCAGCGCGGATCGAGACAGCAGAGAGTATCGTCAGTCGCCTCGTCCTGGGGCGGACCCAAGTCTGTCACCACTGCTCCGACAGAGTACACTAACTTCCAGAGGAGTCCCACCATGCCCGCATCTGTACACGTCCCCATCGACGTCGTCGTTGTGGTGCCCATCTCGTCGTCCATGCAGGGCGTCAAGATCAACCTGGTCCGCGACGCGCTCAAGTTCATGGTCAACACCCTCGGCGAGCGCGACAGAATGGGTCTCGTCACCTTCGGCTCCGGCGGCGGCGGCGTGCCCATCGTCGGCATGACCACCAAGGCTTGGCCCGGCTGGAGCAACGTCCTCTCTTCCATCAAGCCGGTCGGCCAGAAGAGCCACCGTGCCGATGTCGTCGAGGGCGCCAACGTCGCGATGGACCTCCTCATGCAGCGGAAGTACAACAACCCCATCGCCACCATCATGCTCATCAGCGACGCGTCGACCTCGGATGCCGACAGCGTAGACTTCGTCGTCTCGCGAGCTGAGGCCGCCAAGATCACCATCCACTCCTTCGGCCTGGGCATGACTCACAAGCCCGACACCATGATTGAGCTGTCGACCCGCACCAAGGCCTCGTACACATACGTCAAGGACTGGATGATGCTCCGCGAGTGCCTCGCCGGCTGCCTCGGTTCCATGCAGACGCTCTCGCACCAGAACGTGAAGCTCAAGCTGAAGCTGCCCGAAGGATCGCCGGCCAAGTTCCACAAAATCTCCGGCGCCCTGCAAATTACCAAGCGGGCTACCGGTCGCGACGCCGAGGCCTCGCTCGGCGACCTCAGGTTCGGCGACAAGCGCGATGTCCTGGTGCAGCTCGTCATCGTGCCGGACAACACGTCGCAAGAGCAGCTTCCCCAAGATCCCTGGGACAACATCGTCTCTGGTCTGGAGGCGCTGGGCGGAGCCGGCGAGGGCGACGACCCCCGGATCACCTCCGTGGAGGAGGTGCCCCTCATCCAAGCAGACCTCACCTGGGGAGACATCCTGCGCGACGGCACGCTGTCGCATCTCCCTCGCCCCTCTCTCCTCGCGATTACGATGCTCCCCGCCCAGGCAAAGCGGAAGGAATCGTGGGCCAACTCGCCCCCGATCCCACCCCACCCTCACATCGTCCAGCGCCGCATGGAGCTGCTGACGTCGGACATGCTGACCCGCGCCTTGACGCTCGTGTCGCGCGGCCAGCACGACCGAGCGCACACCCTACTGAACGAGACCCGTTCCATCCTGAAGGGACTCGGAAAGGGCGGCCTTCCTCCGATTCCCCCGCCGCCCCCGCCGAACAGGTCCCTTCCATCCACCCCTCACCCCGGAAACGACGCTTCGCCCTCCATCACCCCCGACAGGAAGCAGTCCCCGTCACCGACTCAATCCGCCAACTCATCCGCGGTCAACGGGTTGGCCCCCGCCGGCGCAATCGGCCGCAGCCGTTCGAACGACGGCCTCGGCCTCGGGGCCGGCATCGACGCCAACACCGTCGCCGCCCTCGACTCCGAGCTGGAGAGCAGTCTGGAGTGGATCAGCCACCCCGCCGTCTTCGGCCGCGACAGCCGCAAGGCCGTGCTCCAGGCCATCGGAGTCATCAGCTCCCAGCGCGCGTTCACCTTCCGCACACCCATCGAATCTCTCTGGGCCGGCCGGGTCACGGGTGTGAAGAAACTCACGTCAAAGAGCCGTGAGTGGCGAGACGAGGGAGGCGGCGAGGGCGGCATCATGGAGGAGGCCTAGAACAGCCGCCTCCCTCTCGCCTTGCTTGTTTTTTATGGCTGGCTTTAAAGGAACACTTGGACGTTTGGACGACCAAGCGGCGGCGCATCGGTTCCTTGGGACAAACACATTCTTACGGTCGTTACCCGGCATGGCTTGTCTTTTTCCAACATCATACCCCTGATCTACAGCTCACTTATTTGTTGTTGTTTTTTCGCCCATATAGCTGCTCATGTCTTTACCGCTCCGCAGCGCATGCTTTGCCGGAAAGATACCACATTTGTTTTTTTCTTCTTCGTTTACACCGTGTTCTGACTCCGAGTTACTGTCCTCGAGAGACGTCTGGTTGTGGTCCCACGACACTGTCTGATGGGACCTGCGTTTTGTGTAATTTTTCGTTTCTGTCATGTCACTGATGCCGGAGTGAGGGAAGGGGATGGTCATGTACCGGATGGGGACCACGGAGGAGGGGATATTCGGTCGCGGGAACAAAAGTACGCTTTCTTGTACATGATTGGGAATGGACGGAGCCGAACGTGCGGGAGCTAAGAGCAATATAACTTGCTGTTGACATGCCACAACCTCTGCTCTTTCGTGATGATGTGATGATGCCGTGCAGGATGGGATAGGGAATACCAAAACGATGAGACTTCGCCTTCAGTTGACGTCGTCGTCATCGCACGTAGGTATGTTCGATGGTGTAGGACATATCTGCCTCGCTAGCAGAGTTATTATTCGCTACGCGTCTTGCCCGCAGCGCAGCCATCAAACAATCACACATCCTTCATCACGTCACGAGTACCGTCGTGGTGGGCAAGCCGAACCTCCCTGTGATGAACATGATGAGCACATACCAGCGGCAAAACGAACAGGTAAACCGACTCGGCACGGCTGGTGTAAATCAGCCGATCGAACACGCATTCCGGATCGATCAAGGTCAGGAACGGATGGAACCTGTCACCCGCGCGCCCCCGTTTGTAGACTCGCACGCCGGACTCTGCTCCAACGTCCACGTAGCCTTTCTGAGGGCGTATGCTTTGATTCAGCGGGGTACTCAGCCTGACGGATCCGATGGTCTTGAACGCAGCCAGCACGTCTTTCAACTCGCCGGCGCTGCTGGACTTTCTGATGCCGCGGAAGCTGCTCTCGGCGTCGATCCCGCACGCCCGCGATCCAGACGTCGACCCGCCGCAGGCCCCGAAACCGATCCAGACGCAGCCAGTGGAAGTCGTAGACGTCGTGGCGGCGCGGAAGCCCGGGCAGGCTGCAGTTGGCGCACATCAGCAGCGCCGGGAAGTCCGGACTCAGCGAGAGCTCCAGGCTCCGGGCGTGCTCGAAGAAAGCTGGTGGCGTCGCTCTTACTTTGGTCGTTGTCTTCATGGCCGGGTGGAGGGCGCAGTGGCCGAAGAACATTTAGATTGTCCGCAGATCGGTGAAGATGAACGTCGTCGACTCGTATGGATTGGAGACGCTCTTTGGAACTGGGGCGATCAGTACCGAGGAGCTTTTCGAACAATTGGATTCAGGTTGTCCGCGACCTACATCAGCTTGCACGACAGCAGCATGGGAAGATACACGCTCGACGGGGGGCCATCGGGAGCGTTCTTCCCCTTCTTCATCTTCCAGCACACGTTGATCGAGGTACTCGATCCCCGAATAGCTTCAATGCCGTGCTTCTCGAAGCCGCGCTCGCCGCAGCGCCAGTGATTCATCCACGGGGACTGTAGGCGTCTGCCAGTACGGAGGCGCGCCGTCGTGCCGGTCTCTCTCGATTTCCCGGCCCGGCACGACCCCAAGCCGGACAGCCCGTTTCTCGATAATCCCGTTGCAGTTCGTCCTCGACCTGGAACTCTGTCGTGCACGGCCAGCGACAGAAGTGCTTGTCCGCGGCGGTGGCCGTGCCACGCGATGTGCTGGCGGGAGGCCGCGTGAGCGCCACGGGTGGAGGTAGACGGCGTCGCGGACCTCGCGCGGCAGGCTTTCGACGAAGGCGGAGTGAAGTTGTGGATCGTGGGGCATTGTGAAGTTGGACCGACTTGCCGATCGGATCGGTCGATGTGTCACAGGCGCTTCTGGCGGACGGCGAGATGCGGGCGGCAAGCCATTTATGTGCCAACAGCATACCGCGACACACGTGACTGCTTCTTACTTGGATCAAAAGGTCCCCAATCGAGAGGTTTCACCAAGCCACATCAGTGATGCAGCCATACCATGACTGTAAGCTTAGAGGTTCAGGGGCATGCATGAGGTCGATGCTGCTAGATTCGAAAGGGATAAACATGGTATTAGGTCTAAATTGGGGGCGATATGTTGTGTAACTCACCTCTCCACCGTCTAGCTCCAGCATTTCATGTTTTGTCACAGCTGTATCCCATCGAGTCCTACAACACGCCAAAAACGCTCAAATCGTATCTTTCATGTTCCGCCAGCTGCGGTAATTGGCTTCACTCCGCGCGAGGGGTCTCTGGCGTGTTGTGGCACTTGATGGGATGCCATGCTGGGATAGGTATCCGTCACGCCAAGGAATCCCGCAATGAAGAGTAAGTCCCCTAAGTCTCTATGGATAACAGAAAGTACAAATCCGTGTTCCTGCCGAGCCATAGCATTCGATGATGGTTTGCAGTCGGGGCGGGCTTGGATAACAGAGGAGAATGTCTGATGTCTTTTGCGAGCAAGATCTTACAGCCCAAGCTGGACTGTTCTGTTGTTGAGAACAAGGACCAAAAGCCTGACCAAACCGATCGTTGTGTTGCAAAAAAACCCCCGAAAACACAACAACGCCAGTCTTATGGATGTTTGGGGAGACAGTCTTGACCGAGACGAACTTAGATCAAGATGAAATCCTGGAAACCGGACTCTGCGAAGAGCAGACCCGGTCTGAACTTTTCATTATCTTCCAACAGACCGAGACATTCAGAGACCCAATCACCTGATGGAATTCCAAACTGAAAATATCCAAGTCGGCGAAAAGTGTTGGGTTCATCAGAATCCAATGTTTGCCCTAATAGAAGGCCGTGTACTTCTTCTAGGTAGTCGTCATGTGTATAACTCACTAAAAGAGGGAACAGATGTGTGCAAACTTCCCATCGCCAACGCTGCTCAGCAGGGATGGGAATGCCGTGTTCTGAGAAGAAGGACATGTCTTCCACGTCTTTATGCATCATGACAAAGCTTGAGGTCTCCTCAAATCCTACCGGCATCGTTGTCAAAGGTCCCCTGATGGCAAGTCCTCGTACGCCCGACTTCTGAACCGAATTGAGACTTAAGTCGGATTGAAAGCCTGGTATGTCGGAGAGGACCTGTATCCGCATACCTTCAAGTAGCTTCAAATCACAGATTGTGATTTCCTCGCCCAAGGAAGCCCAGGACCACGAAGGTGCGAGGGATACAGAAGGGATCCGTCGCGCCCTTCGTCGTGGACGCCAAACCAACGAGCCGGCAAGATCACCCTCCCAGAACCCCGCAACAAAATTGTCATCCAAGTTTGCTCCGACAAGGCGTGCGATTCCAGCGACTGCTGGAAACCGGTCCGTCGGGACAGTCAACTGGGTCCCAGCGTAAAACTCAACGAAGAGTCTCCACGTGTGATAAATTCGTTTTTTCGTACTTTCAGAATTCAAGGAGCGTATTGTCTTGTGAGGATCCGGGGATGGCAATGATGGCCCCATACCGACCTCCGGGAAAGTCTCGTTAGCGATGCCACGCGAGCATTCCCACCACAGTTGTTGTTCTGGAGTAAAATGAAGGACGGCAGGCGAAAGAGCCCTCTCCTGAGCAACCCAGGCCCGTGAACTCAGATGGCCTCTGGCGATCTTTTCAGTAAAACCCCACACGTCCACTGGGATATAGAGGCCTTTGTGTCGTTTGATGTACTCCCCGCTTAGCGAAGTGGGCAGAAGGCAATCCACTCGCATTGGGGGGTCACTGAGCGGCAGTGCTTTCCGCTTTCCAAACAATCCCAGGCTGCCGTCCTTATACCCAGTTGCCGCGATGTTGCATTCCGCATATCGGTAGACATCTCCCATGGTCACTGCCTCTTGTTCCCAGTCGTCTGTTGAACTTTGTATAATACAAAGACAGTCGATCCAGATATAGTTGATACCCAGTTGATCAGCCATGTATAATGCATCTCGAAACAATTTGGATAGTTGTTGAACCGGTATTTCCTGTGTAAGTGTTCTATAATTATGGCTTTCCAACATAAACTGAGGAGTTGTCCCCCAACAATGGCTCAGCGTGACGTATCGAATCTCTGCTGCGGGCAAATCGCTCGTTTCGCAGAGCTTCGCCGCAACGCCAGAGGGTGAACTGCCGGATTTGCGAATTTGAATCAAACGGGTCGGAAGACGCTTCTGGGTGACTTTGTGAGACCGACAAGGAACATGGTGTAAGCACTGTTGTAGCCATGATCGAGCCAGCTCGATGCTGGTCGCTGATTTGGCCGTCGTTGTCTCAAGATCAGGATCTGGCGATCAGTTAGCCCAAATGACGAAGAAAAGTGATTGTTGCCTCACACACCCAAGTATTCAGGCCCCGGCCTCAAAAGGCCGATTGAACTGAAATAAGCATCCGTTAAGTAGATAGTATGTTCCCACTCCAAGTCTGTAGCGGAAAGAATAAAACTTGAACCATAAACTTGAGTGACGCAACCATAAACTCGTGTCGGATATGGAGCACTTAATAGAGTATGCCTCCTTTTGGCCTTTGGGAGGATCTGACTGTTTGTGGAGCTCACTCCACGCCTCCTCAAGCTGTTTACAAAGAGGGCAGCCGTAGTCAACGGACCGCCTTAGTGACGCAAGAGAAGGGTGGTACAATCGGTCACCTCCTTCTTCAATATGCCCCCGCGGAAACTCTCGACAGATGGAGCAGAGCCGTGACGCCATTTTGTTTAAAGAATTTCGCATATCTTCATCCAGGGAGGCCGATGAATCGATTACTGTCACCTGCCGGTTGAGGTCATCGTTATCGTGGTCGTCGTAGTTCCCATCGTTCGATTCTGCTATCCCGTCAACGTCTTCGTTCTCGCTCGCGTTTGGGTAGGAGAACTCAGATGACGAAAGTTCCCGATTCCCCTTCACGGAACTTGGTTCCTTGGGACCGTCATCGGTGCATTCCATTGGATCGTGGAGAAGACACAGCTGAACAGAATGTGTGAATGATTGAAGTCTTGTCGAGGTCTCAATTTTCCCCGCTCGCATGTCTGAAGGTTTTCTATCTGATGAGTGGCACAGTTACAAAGTCTCATGCAGATCACGAGGACTCATCACACAATCTCTATGTTCTAGTTGGTGGATTTCAGGTCAGCCTGCATGAAGCAAGCCCATCCAGGCATTGTCATTGGCTGACCAGGCTGACGACTGCATGCATACGGATGCACCTCTCACGAGAAGAGAGGGTACTATTGCAAGGGCTTGCTTACTCATGAATGGGCCAAGATCATTCACCTCCCCTTCCAAGCTTCCTCTACCATCTCTTGGACAGTGATTGGGCGTATGTCCGGGTACTTGGCATTCAACCGATTCTCCTTTGGCATTTCCATCAGATGATTGATGATAAGTCGTCCGAAGAAGGAATTCATCTGCTTCGCCTGCCGGGCCGCGTCTCCCTCTAAATCCTCCAAAATAGTGGCATCGTCGTTTCTGAGTCTCTCTTCACTGTCGTACGTCACATCAAAAGTGCCGCCTGGCGCCGTGAATCAGCTCTCCGGTACAGACATTTAGGCATTGCAGCTACTCACCTCGAACACCCCGGATCGTGGCCAGCGCTTCGTTCAAAGTCATGTCCGATCCGACAACAATGCTGTACTCGGGCCAGTCGTCGGAGTCGAGGGAACGAACAACGAAGCGGCCGACGTCGTTGGAGTGAGTCAGGCTGAGGACATCGTCACCGGAGCCAGGGATCGCAGCTCTCCTGTTGCCGACATCGATGGAAAAAATACTTGGCGACAAGTGACTAGGGAAGTGAGGCATCCCCCAGTAGTCCATCAAGAAGCCGTTCACGAAACGGGTGTACTGGAGGCCCGAAGCCTTTAGCCTTTCGGCAGTCTTCATCCACGGTGTCGTGTAAGGTTCGTTTTTGACGTCTCTGTCATGAACACGTCAGCTGCATGCAGTGGAAACACTGAAACGGAGTCAAGGTCATACTCGGGTCTGTTGAGAACCCCAAACTCGCTGGGTATGAAGCGCCGCGTCGTCTTCGAAGCCACTGCTGCATCGATCAAGTTGAGCTGGGCTTGAAAGGATGCCTCGGAGTCTATGGAAATGGTGCTGATGACCGTATCGATCTTGTTTGATTTCAAGACTTCGGTCAACGATTCCACGTCTTCGTAGTCGACCTTCACTGACGGTGGACCGATTGGCGATGCATTGTTCTTGATGATATCAGCAAGGGCTATGATCCAATGTGTCACCCCGCTTACCTCCCGACTCAAAACGATGAACGAAGCCTTCGCAAGTTGAAGCTGTTCAACAATGGCCTTGCCCACACCACCTGTGCCGCCAGCAACAGCTACGACACCCATGTTTGCAATTGGGGAAAGAATATAGAGTACTTTGCTGAGTTTTCGTCTACCCAGAAGAATGATCGGGTTTCGCACAACACGGCCACCTTGTCTTTATATGCGATCAGGCTTCCATTGCCCGGCCCCGAGTGAGCCCCATTCACAATATATATCAATTACCAACGCTCAAGCCTCTCAAGGTGTTGACGGAGTAATTGGGAGCTCAGGTGGAAGAAACGGTTGTGTCGGGGCTCTCGGCCGCCGCATCCCACACGGGCCGTCCGTTTCATCCGGCCGCTCGGCGGACATTCACACCGTCGCGGAGCGGAGCGGGGCTGATTGTCTGCTTCGGCACGGCGGTTAAAGAGGTCCAGAGATGTCATTTCCACCCTTGGAGTGAACGCCGAGATACTTCGTCCGTTCGTCCGATGATCCCATCGTCTAAAGGTCGAGCCAGCTTCGAGCACATATGCATCATCCTTGCATACGGGTCGTACAATGACTCGGGCGGCAATGGAAAAGCTCGCGGCTTCGGCATTGAGGAGGCAATTCACTACGAGTTACAAACCGCTTTTCCTGCGGTGGAAGAGAGCGCTGTCTGCGTATTCCAGGCCTTGAAATGACCACGCCAGAGAGTCGGGAATAGGTTTCCGCTATCGAGGAAAGCTACGTCCAGAACACGTAAGAACTGCGGCTTTATTTGCTCAATCTTGTGGCAACTTCTAGATGTACCTATGTCTTTAAGATGCAGAGCTAAGAGACCAGTACTTCCACGTCAACAGCCACCTCAAATCAAGGGCTGGGCCGACTCAGCCCGCATCTCAGGCAGCATGCCAAGGGCGACATCTCAGAAAAGGTTTCAAAGATGCTCTCGATGGTGTCGACGAACCCGGTCCAACCCATCCTCCTCGCTTTGTTAAGACAGGGGGAGCCTGATCGGAGCTAGGCGAACTTGGCCATGTAGAAACTGTCGGGATCGGCGAACGGATCGTTAGTCACTCTCCTCACTCTGCCTCATGGTCTCTTGCCACGCTACCGCGTTTTTCTCTTCACGTGCCCAGTCCACCAGAGTGAACCGGGTCGTGCTTGTGAGGGGCGGCCCGTACCCGAGCGGCGCGGCCCGCCCGGCTGCTCCGAATGCTTTGATCTCCAGCCGAGATTCATCGTCCGGGGCGGAACGACGCCAGTCGCGCCAAAGCACCTCGACAGCTCGGGGAAAACCCTTTCCCGCACGAACAGTCCGTCATCCTGAGTATTGAAGTTTCCGTTCTACAGTCCGACTGTGTCGTTCAGCTGCTATTCCTGTATACGTGTTATGATATAGAAATGGTACCAGAACCAGGAATACCATGTGCTTGCTTACGTGAAACTCACCATATGTCAACTCTCATAAAACACCTGTTGTCAGAATAGACTCAGACAGGGGATACGCGCCAATCGTTTATGCAAATCTACTGCAGGGCCAGCAGATTATTCAAGAGAACACAACCATACTGATCCCACGTTCATTATGCTGCTAGTGGCCACGATGATCTGTCAGCTGGCTTATTCACTTTCACAGCATTTCAACATCCCTGCGTTGCGCTTCGCGTTACGGACCAAGCTTTCGCATCCAGATGTCATACGTGGAGGAGTACATCCAGCCGCCAAATCTGTCATCCAGCCGCACAAATATGACTATGCTCTGCACAGCTCATTATCTACCAAAAGCAGTGTTCAACTAAGAAAGAAAAGCATCCGATTTGTTGAAAATTTAGAATGCTGGACTTGTGTACGTATTGACACATTCCCAAACCTCAATCTCGCACAGTTGACAGACAATACAGACCCATCCAGTTGATAACAAACAACGAACCCTTCGGTCTCCTTCGCAACATCTTCGTATACCTATAGGCTTTTCATTCCACACAAGGCGAGCCAAACCCTGCACGGTACCCTCACAACGATGTAACTTCGCAGCGTCTTCCTACCGGCCCTGCCAGGAAAAAGTTGTACATCTCCATGATGGAATCGTTCATGTTGTCCGATAGCCTCAGTCTCGGGCAGCTCTTCAGAAGCAGAGCTGCGCCTAGCCGGAGCTCCATTCTCGCCAGATGTATCCCAATGCAAACGCGAGTGCCTGCGCCAAACGGGCAAAAGCTCGCCTTCTGTTCAGGGGTGAGCTTAGCGGGATCGATCCACCGAGTGTAGTCAAATCTTGACATCGTCAGCCACTTGTAAAGTCGTCTCTACTCGCAAAGCACTTACCGAAGCGGATCTGGCCAAATTCGGGGATCCCTATGCATGCTGTATGCTTGGGTCTCGACCTCGTATCCGCCAGGAATAAAGTGGCCACAGATAGTAATGCCGTGATTGGGAACCACCCTGGATAAATTGCCAGGGACAGCGCCATACAGGCGGAGTGCCTCCTTTATCACAGCATTCAGCAGAGGAAGTTGTTCCAATGCCGCGTCGTCGAAATCCTGGCGCAAGGAGCTCAATTCCTCAACGAGTCGGTCCCGAAGATCCGTGTCTCTGAGAACAGCCCAGGTGATGTATGTCAGAGTGTTGGAGGTCGTATCAGCTCCAGCGAGTATGAAATCGCTGGCTTCGATCCGGATATCCTCATCCGAAAGGATGTGTTGAGCCTCGCCTGTCGACTCACTCTTGGCTACCATATTGGCGAAGAGGGTCTTTTCATGGTTGCTCCTGTGGAGCTTCGCGACGGCTTCCCGACCAAAGGCGATCAGCTTGTTGCCGGAGTTGAGTGCTAGCTGAATAGATTTGATAGGGATGTAGCGGCAGATCAGGCACAGCAGTGGAAACTCGACCTGGAGAGTCGTGCTCAAAGCGGCGGCTTCCAAAACTTCGACATATTCGTTCTTCTAGATCGAGTGTTAGTCCACACTTGTTCGGCACCTGCGTAAAGACGTTTTTTACCTTTGCAGATTGCAGCAGCTCGAATGATTCCCCGAATGAGAGGGTTCCAATGACGTCGGAAGCCATTAATACCCACCATTTCAACACATCCGAGTTTCCGTGGGCCGCCTCGTTCTGTATTCGGCTGACTGCCATCTCGACTTTTGATCTAATGATCGCCTCGCAGTTTTCGCGCAGGAAGTTTTGTGAAAACGGCCGAGCAAATAGTTTTCGACGTGAGGAATGGTCTTTGGGGTTTCGCATGGCGAAGAATGCGAGCCCGCCGAGAGCACCCCCTATCAGCTGCTCGCACCATGACGTCTTGAGGAAACCAGATCCGATCTTGTGGATGGCGGAAAAGCCTTTGAGGTCTGCAATGGCAACTTGCTGAGGAGAAATACGCACGACGGGCCCGTGGCGAAGATGAAGGCTGTGAACGTAGTGCATCCGGCGACCAGTGATGGTGTGAAACTTCAATACGTAGTGAGTGAAGCTGGAATACCAGGGTCCCGGTATCCGTCGAAGAGGGTTTCTGAGAGCCGCAGATGTCACCTGGTGAATTCAGGCGTTAGTTGAGTAGCTTTCCCTGAAGGATTGTTGTACTTCGTGGGGTCGGCGTGGTTTGTGGATGTAGTTACCTTAGCCACGGATGCGAGTAGCAAAGCGGCGAGAACGCCATATAGGCCAATGGGTTGGAAGTTAAGCATGACTGACTGATAGAAGCAGGATCAGATGCCGATTCTAAATGTCGAAATGGGCGATCCGTCTTGCTAGAAATAATGCGAGGTAGGTCTGACAGAGGTCGACAAAAAGGCAATCGATGCTTGCTCTCGGCACGACGGCGGACTTCAGTCTTCGACAATCCCCAACCCCTAACCCCCAACATCAAGGTTAGGTCGCGTTCGGCATGGACACCATAGTTGTCAGAGACTCTCGTGGAAATCTCGCTGCCGCAAATCCCGCTCCCGGAAACTTCGCTGTCCGCACCCCGGTTCTACCTTGTATAAGCCGATATGGATGAAGAGTTACGCGGCAAGAACGCCGGTGGGATTGCCACTTGTGGGATTAAGATCAACTGTCGAATCGGCTGCATTGCGTTGTTCTGTCTATCTGTGGAGTTACGGAAAATATCTCCTAAATATTCTACGATGCGTACTCAAATATCTTGGCGCCCAATAGTATCCAACCGTTCAAAGGCATGGAATAATTTTATTGACTACAGACGTGCTTCCTGAGACCCAGCATTCCTTTGATCCTCGAGAATGAGATCCGCCGCTCGCTCGGCCACGGCGTACACGGTAGATTGAATGTTGCCTCGCGGGATCAACGGGAATACGCTCGCATCGACTATTCTCAAGTTGTTCGTCCCATGGACAAGCAGTCGGGAATTCACCACTCCGCCTTGCTCCATGGGCAACATCGCACACGTTCCGCACGGGTGGTTATTCGAGACTATCTTCTGCTTCGCCACATGCTTCGCGTCCCGCAGACTGTCCATTGACTTTTTCCCGCCCTCAAGGTGAAGCCTTCGACCCATGGGCTTAAGTAGGCTAGCCATAGGCTCGGTTGATGCCAGCCTTTCGACGAACAGCAGGATATGGGCGTGAAGTTCAAGATCAAGCGGATGACGCAAGAATCCTATGTCGACGGTAGGGTTGAGGTTCGGGTCGTTCGAATGAATGTGAGTCGAGCCCCGTGAGAACGGGTGGTTCAGCACTCCACAGAATGTGATGTATTGCCCTTCCTCATCGAAGCCAAACATGTACCTAGCCGTCGAATCGTCACCAGACTTCAGCTGACGCGGCACTAGGCTACACTGCCCGATAGGCTCGTCTGTGTTGTCCAAGATTCCGTACAGTTCATCTTGCTGTTTATTGTTACCCGGAGGCAGATAGCCGTGTACCGACATATGATTGCGAATCCGGTTGATTGACTCCTTGGGCAGTTGCAAATTCAGGTATGAGGACATGAAGGGGAATTCGGCGAGAGGTCCGTCCTTGGATTGTTCGTACGCAGAAATTGCCTCCGCCATTATGCCGGGGTCTTTCATCATGTCGCCGGACACTTGGCCGTCCGCCAATTCCCAGGAACAGGGGACAAGTCCGTGGTCCTGGAGATTCTCACCCACGTTCTTGTTGTCGATGAAAACGTCGATCCGGTGGGCGCGGAGTAGGGATGCGTTCCCGATGCCCGAAAGCTCGAGCAACTGGGGAGTCTTGAAACTGCCAGCAGCGAGGACAACTTCTCTGCGGGCATATATCTTGTGCCCCATCCCATTCTTGGTCCTGATCACAACACCAACGGCTGAGACCGAGCCGTTCTGCTCACGTTTGAGCATCACCCGTTGAACCTGGGCTTCGGTGAGTGCCGCTATGTTGCTCCGATGGGTCGCTCTTGGACTGCAGTAATCGGCCCCAGCGTGACTCCGCCTTTTAGTCTCTGGATCGATCGTGACGCCGGCCAGGAACGGCCCGGAAAAGGTGCCGGAGACGTGATCTCCATGCGGCGGCTGATTGAGGTTCTCAAAGGTAGGAACCCAGGCCCTGTGACAAGGCAGGTAACTTCGTGCGTATGATACGTGAATGGGTCCTTCGCCTCCCAGGCTTCTCCCAGTAGCTGGCAAAGAGAGTTGGCCGCAAGTCTCCTCGGATGGGGGTTCAACGGAGGAAAACTTCTGCAGATAGGGTGACATGGCATTCCAGTCCCACCCTGTGTTTCCCAGAGCCGCCCAGCTGTCAAAATTGGCTCTCGAGGGGTATACCACGCAGCACATATTGATGGCGGAGGAACCTCCCCAGGTACGACCAACAGGATGAACCAGAGTTCTCCCATTCAGTTGGGGCTGCGTGATGATTAGACGAGGGACAAGCCGTAAATGCTAGGATCACGCCTACCTGCGGGACACCGGAGATCAACCATTCAAAATCCGCATTGCCATACATGTCGTTCATCAACCCAGGCGTGAAGACTCGGGGATCGTCGGTGCGGTCTGCGCCGGCCTCAATGACCAGAATCGCTAGCTTCTGGTCCGCCGAAAGGCGCTTCGCGACAACGAGGCCTGATGTACCTCCTCCAACAATGATGTAGTCATAATGAGTTCGGATCGGGATCTCAGATGCCTTAGAAGTCATGGTATACTGCGTCAAGGAGCTGAACAAGTGTAGAGAGATAAAAGTGAATGAGATTGTTGAGGTTCGTCGCTGGGGTTGAGAATTTGCTACGTCAAAATTTGGACCCTATACGGCAACTAAATACGAGCTGGGCGTAGTCACTCTAAGGCAGCAATCTCACGCTTTTTCCAGAATCTGAGACCATCCGACGTAAGGATAACGAGGTAATAATATGACAAACGTCGTTTACGTTTGTGACGTGGGTAACAGCCGCAACTATCAGCGGTGACTTCGAATACCAGACCTTTCGAAATGCCAGTCATGTACTCGTGGGATCAGCGACACGAATATCCCCCCATTACCCTAGTTTGCTTCTTCGGCCTTGACGGACTTTTGTGCTTTCCATCCGGGTCTCCACGTATTCTGTGAATCTATTCGTAACTCAGTTATCGCCGGCATTTTGTTTCCCGAAGCGTCTTAGTCTTCCATCGCGCCTACAGCGGTACTACACATTTGGCTCAAGCATGGCTTGGTTCTATTGCATGAGAACCACTCGGTTTGGACAAGTTGCCTGCGTGTAGACTTCTCAAAGGGGATGAGAGTACCGACTTAGAACTCGCCCATACCGGAGAACTCAGTTTTCCATATCACCCACCGGCTCGGACTTGTAACAGGAGCGAGTATCCTTGGCCTTGGTCACCGGCACTCCAAGCACGAAGTCCAAACTTGCGAAACCCAACTCCCGCGCTAACCGCAGAATCTGTGGTACTCCTCCTATTTGACATAATTTTCCTCCCCGTCATATAAAGACGTCAGGTCGATGAGTTGACGAGGGTGAGTGCTCTCATGCAATTCATCCCCTTGAAGAACTACATGACTTCATCCCACCGGCAAGTCTAGTTGAAACGATCACAATGGCCTCCTACGAACCCGAGACCCGCCTTTACATTGCAGGCAGCTTTGTGACTTCTGTTTCTGGGCGTACATTTGACCTTTTCGACCCTTACACCCAGAAACCAACTTATTCTGTCTACGAAGCCAATGCCGACGACGTCGACAAAGCCGTCAAGGCGGCAAAAGTAGCTTTCCCAACCTGGTCGTGTCTCTCGGCAGCAGAGCGCGGCTCGTACTTGTTCAAGCTGGCGGATGCGCTTGAGAAAGCTCTGCCGCAGCTTTCATACTTTGACGCAATCAACATGGGCAAGCCCGTGCACTTTGACGGTAAGAAGTGTCGTCAATCACTCATGTGCCTAAAGCTAATCGTTTCAGTACTGAATAGCAAAGCTATCGAGGTCTTACGTTATTACGCAGGCAAGGCACTGGACGTCGCAGGAGACAGCTCGCTGAACAGCGCGGGGATGTTGAACCTGACACTGCGTCAGCCGTACGGAGTCTGCGGAGCCATTATCCCTTGGAACTCGCCGGTCCTGGCGCTCGCGCTGAAAGTCGGGCCCGGTCTCGTATGTGGAAATACCATTGTTCTGAAGACGTCAGAAAAAGCACCTCTAAGCTGCTCCGTGGTTGCCAAGTGCTGCGAGGAAATCGGGCTTCCTGCCGGCGTTCTGAATATTCTTCACGGATTTGGCCAGCCTTGTGGAGAAGCTATTGCGACGCACATGGAGGTTCGCAAGATCTCATTCACAGGTTCCACGGCAACGGGGAGGGCAATCAGCCGGGCGGCAGCAAACTCCAATCTCAAGAACGTCACGCTGGAACTCGGCGGCAAAAGCCCGTTGATCGTGTTTGAGGACGCAGACGTCGAAAAGGCCGCCGCGGCCGCGGCTCTGTCGATTCTCATGAACAGCGGACAAGCCTGCATCGCGAGCTCCAGATTCTATGTCCACAAAAGCATCCGAGACAAGTTTGTTGCCTCGTTGGAAGCCATCATGGTGAAGACTCCGGCCGGCAACCCGTTGCATGAGTCCACCATGAGGGGTCCGCAGGCTGACGGATCTCAATTCGCCCGCGTTCTGGAGTTCCTCAACTACGCGAGAAAGAACGGGTTTGACATCAAGACCGGGGGAGGTCGCGATGGCACCCAGGGCTACTTGGTTCAAGGCACACTCATTCTGGATCCACCGGAAGACTCACGGCTGATGAAGGAGGAGATCTTTGGGCCTGTTGCCTGCGTCTGTACCTTTGAAGACGAAGAAGAAGTTCTGATGCGCGCCAACGATTGCGACTACGGGCTGTACGCATCGGTGTTTACGGCAGATATATCTCGGGCTTTACGCATTGCTAAGCGATTTGAGGCTGGTTCGGTCGGAGTGAACTGTACGAGCCCAACTTTGGCGATGGACATGCCTCTTGGGGGCTGGAAGAGTAGTGGTACGGGCAAAGAATACAGCAAGTATGCCCTTGAAGCCTGGACAGAGATGAAGTCTGTTTTCATCAGCTTGTAGGTCTGGCTTGGAACGGGTACTCAGGTTGAGGAGCGGCGGCAAGTCTCAGAAAACATTTTGTAGTTGAGTCATAGAACAAGCTTTTCAATGTCCATATTACTTGGTAGATTGTCATGTGGCGTATAAGTTGGTCCGCATTGGAAAACACAACGTGGATTCACCCTTCATCCAACGACAACTCAGCGCAAGCGTCTGGATCTATCTGAGTCGATTAAGTGGTGTATGGCATCCGCAGTGGCAGGGAGGGGACCAGAGTCACCCGACACAATATGATCACTACACCACGCCATACTGGTACTGTTAGATTTCACTGTTCACTGTTTCATTCAGTCTTTTCAACTCGACGTCCGATCAAATTGGCAGTCTTGACTCAAATGAAACATCATTGACCTCATGACTATCATCCGGCAGTTTCTTGTCCGCGTGATATTCGCACCTCAGCCGAGCCTGCTGAATTCGCTTCTTCACCAAGAGAAATCGATACAAAAGCCGAAGTTTCTAACTGACAGAGAATCCTTACTGCCATGTGGTGACTACGTCAGAAACCACAGCATCGTTTGCGCGGCGAGTTTCGGAACTTTGTGAGTCCATCTCACCGGACTCGCATGTCAATGCCATTGCAGCGGTGAACGAAGATGGCCCGCATGCGGCACCAGCCGCGCCGGACATGAACCAGACGCGAATGCGACGCTCCTGTGTATATCTTCAGACCAGGGGTCACGATCGGTGGCTCGTCTTTCGGATTTCGGTACAGGCCGATGCATCGAAGAGGTGCTTGGCCGGCCGCCCACTCGAAAGGATCTTCCCCCTCGAAAAGACCTCTGCCCCCCTCGATTTTCTCCCGGTGGTTCGTTCCAACTCACTCTTCTATCCATGTTGGTGGTGCAGTTGCCGCGTGGACAATATAAGAGTCATGTTTGTGAGGGCATTTCCCCTTTCCTTTTCGCTCATTCCAATTTTTACCTTCCCCTTCATAGGAAGATTGCTTTTGCAACAGTTCCTTACTCGGAATCCATTTGACTCGCGTTCGCCACGTAAAACCGAATCAATCCTCCTGGCCGTACAACATAATGCGAGAAAAGACAGTTTCCGGTACAGACAGCAGTGGCTCTGATTCTGCAGAAGGTGGTCGTCAAAACTCCGCCGGCGAAGGTGGAACAGATCCTAGCAACTGCGAAACGCCTGGAGCAAGCGTTGAAGGTCCTTGGGAGTTCCCCGACGGTGGCGCAAAAGCGTGGTTATGTGTTGCTGGCGCTGCTGCGTCGTCGTTCTGCGCATTCGGCTGGATTAGGTATGGAAAATGTGTTTGTTTGTTTAGCAAAACCAGCTGACGAAAGATATTAGCTCGGTCGGTGTCTTCCAGGAGTACTACGCACGCGAACTGCTCCAAGAATACTCAACAATCGACATCGGATGGATCGTCTCAGTCGAAGTCTTCTTCATGCTTTTCGGTGCCCCGATTGCGGGCGTGTTATTCGACCGTTACGGCCCTCGTTGGGTCCTCCTCACAGGGACAATTCTACACGTCTTCGGCCTCATGATGGCGTCGCTCTGCCGCGAGTACTATCAGTTCCTCTTATCCCAAAGCATTTGCAGCGCTGTGGGTGCCAGTCTCATCTTCAATCCTACCTTGGCAAGCGTGTCTACCTGGTTCCGCAACAGACGCGGCGCCGCCCTTGGCTTGACGTTTGCGGGAACCTCGGTCGGAGGGGTGATATTCCCGATTATGGTCACCAAACTCATCCCGGAAGTTGGCTTTCCGTGGACGATGCGGATATGCAGCTTCCTGATCCTCGTGTTGATGGCGTTCGCAAACCTCACGATTCGTTCCCGAATAAAGCCCCGCAAACGACCTCTTCGCTGGGTTGATTTCATCCGACCGTGGGGCGAGCTCAGGTTCGCTCTCGTGGCCACCGCCATGTTCTTGTTCAACTGGGGAATGTTCCTACCCTCCATCTTCATTGCTGTGGATGCTCGGCAGAACAACATGGCCATACCCAATTCGCACTACCTCGTGTCCATCTTGAACGCAGGTGCCTTTTTCGGGAGGGTTATTCCCGGTTTTATCAGCGATCGATATGGCCGAGCAAACACGATGGTCGTTGCCGCCTTCTTGACAGCACTCTTCATCGTTGCTTTCTGGATTCCGGCCTCGTCTGCGGGTGCTTTCTATGCTTACGCAGCCGCCATCGGGGTGGTTACGGGAGCTGGCATTAGCTTGCCACCAGCTATCGTGGCTCAGATTTCGAATATTGAAGAGATCGGGGTCAGAAACGGCGCCGCATATGCCGTGGCAGCCTTTGCTGCTTTGACCGGACCGCCAATCGGCTCGGCACTGATCTCGCAAGACAATGGGAATCTTACTCACATGAAGGTCTTTGCCGGCTCAGCGTGCTTCGCATCATGCGCATGTTTCGTTGCGGCCCGAATAGCTATCGGGGGATATAAAATAAGAGTGGTGGTGTAGAATCCTGTTATGCTAGATCTTGGACGTTGACTGGCAAGCCTAGAGAACAATATAGATGGTCTTGAGCTAGGCCTATTAATTTTATAGAGTCCTGTTCAATGCTGGTTGAGGTATGGTCGGACCTGATGGTGACCGCCACATCCATCTAAGCTGTCTTGAGCTCGCCAGCATGAATGTATTCGCGTTATCCCTGCATACGAGTCGTATGATATCAGGTTATCATGGAAAACCTCGCGGCTTCGGCGTTGAAAAAACACCGAGACCGTTCACAGTGACGGTAGCGCTGTCCGCGCAGTCCATGCTTTGGAAGAGTCGGGAATAGGTTTCCGCCGTTGAGTACAAACTTCATTCAGAGGACAGAAGAACTACATATTGAGAGGTAGTTAACAGGATTTAAAGCGCTTCCTCGTTCTCTTGCACTCATTCTTCTTCTCATCGGTGCAATCATCGCAAACACTAGATCGATCATCATGACGGACTCTAACGAGGGTCCGAAGAGGCCTCATGTTCTCATAGTTGGAGCTGGAATCGGCGGTCTGACATTGACTCAACTTCTACGAAAGCGAAACATCAGCTATGAGATCTTTGAGAGAGATCCCGAGCCAAGGACCACTGGTTGGTGTATCGCACTTCATACGTGAGTACCCATGTCTGAGACCTGATGAGCCCTCTGACACTTCAACGATTTGCAGCATGCTGGAAGAGCTTCAAGCCTCATTCCCAGATGACGTCCCAAGCCTTGAAGAGGCAGATCATCTGAAGCCTCTGAAGCTGCCATCGCAGTCGGTGATATATCCATCAAACGACCCCGATGTCCGTTTTGGAACAACTGCCGCAGGATCCAACGATTTCTTGAGGTGCAACCGAGAAAAGCTGCGTCAAGTCCTCGTTACGAATGTGAACGTCCATATGAGCAAGAAGTGCTCTCGTGTTGAAGAGTCATCTGAAGGAGTGACGGTTCATTTCGAGGACGGAACGTCTGCCACTGGGGACATCGTTGTTGGGGCAGATGGAGTCAACAGCATTGGTTTGTTGCGACCAAAACCAAGTATCAGTTCCGTACAAGCTGACATTGAAGCAGTGAGAAGCCACCTGCTCACCAGCGATCCACTGGAACACCTCCCGCTCGGTGTCATTGGCGGCGAGCTGAGTCTCGGCGGCCGGTACATGGAAAGGCAGCTGGAGTTGGGCCATTCGACTTACACGGTATTCCTGAAAGATGACGCCGAAGATACAAACTCTGGAAACTTTGTCACACTGTTCGCGGCCCTGGAGAGGGTTCACCCCGACGGAAACTCGGCCGACTTCTACTGGATCTTGACTTGGCGGGACGAGAAGGCCGGAAAAGAAGACTTTTGGACCAAGCACGCAAGCCAGCAAGAGTTGTACGACTTTGTGCAAAAGGCCACGAAAGCTCTGAACACGGAATTCCGTCGTACTATTGATGCGACGTCTGTCGACCGGATTCTTGGCAACCCTTTCCCACTCCGGACTCTGATCACGCCTGGGCTCCCCTCCAGCAGAGCAACTCTTCTTGGTGATGCGGCACACTGCATGCCTCCTTGTAAGTTTGCATCTCAAACTCGTTCTAGATGGGAGTGCTGACTAGAATTCCTCAGTTGGCGGGCAAGGAGGTGTCCAGGCTATCATAGACGCTTTGAATCTGGCAAAGGCAATCGGAAATCTTCCTGGCCAAGTGGTCGCTGGGGAGGAGATCAAAGAGGCTCTCTCATCGTACAACGAGGAAATGCTGCAACGCGGAAACGATGCAGTGAGGAAAAGCCTGGCTGTCTATGATCCTAATGCTAAGAAATTTGCCTGGGACCGGGCTCCTGAGACGTTGCCCAAGGAGAACATCTCTCTTGAGAAGTTGAGAAGCGGAATTCCATAGACCACGATAGCTTTGAAGTGTTTTAGAAATATTCTGCTGCCTATCGATGTAGTCTTCGCCAACAGCTAAAGCGTTTCTATGTGTCTATGCCTCAGCGGGTGGTCCATAGGCAACTTGCTATCGTTAAGCCACCACATACGACCATACCCACTGGAAAACTCGGGATCCCGTCCGCTCTCCCATAGATAAGCCAGTGAGGGCAGGCTTAGCTATGGGAGAGCCTATGCTGACAAAGCAGACCGCTAACGGAACGACCGACCCACAATTCCTTCCCTTCGGACACCGTTCAGCGGGCCCACACAACCTCCGTTTCCTCCTGCATGCCCGTCGGCGCCGGCTTGCGGTCGGCCTCGGGGGACCACGGGCGTGACGTTAGACCGGGCAGATGTGGGCGCGTGCAGCTGCATTCTCTTTTCCAGAAATTGAAAATGAGCTTCAAGGCCACTTTTTTTCGCGGCGCCAATCTTCCCACCGTCCTTCTCGCCTTTCTCTCTCAGACTCTCTCCCACCTTCTCGAATTCCGACACGTGAATGCCGGCGCTTGCGACTCCAGTCTGACAATGCCTCCTCGTCGAACCGTCCACACTGAGTCCCGCAGACGATGTTTGCCTGGCGATCCAATATCCCAAAAGGCGAGAGCCCAAGCCGACCTAAAAAAGGTCTCACAGGTACCCTTATGAGACCGGGCCAGTGTGGGGTCCAAAACAAAGGGTGGGCGCTCGCAAGTAGGGGCTTACTAGAAAATATATAATCTCCTGCACTTAGCTATATAGTAGTCTGATGCTAACGTTAATGAGGTATATAGGAGAGATTCTAGAAATTAACCCTAACTAGGTTTAGATTAATCTCTACTCTAATACTAATAGAGCTATAGATATTATTTAATTAGTTCTCTTAGTATATACTAGAGATTTAGGTAAATAATGTGTAAAGCTTCTAATAGAAGATAGAGAGGAATCTAAATGGGTAGCCTCTATAAATATAGGAGTAGCTATTATAGGGTTCTAGAGAAACCTAGTGTTATAGGCGGATAAGACTATACTTTAGACAAAGAGGGCATAAGATTAATAAAACGCATACTACTAGAGGCTTACCTTTAATAAAGTAAGTATAACTAGAATAAACTGCTACTATAGGCCTATTTATAGGATATCTTTAGTAAGTCTGCTGCTTATTTTTATTTTAGAAATTAAGTCTAATTAGTTTATTAGTGGGTGTGAGAAAGTCTAGTTAATAAGCTTAGCCTTAATTATAGTTAGACGTTTATAAAAGTATTAATAATAGCTAAGGATATAATACTTTACCTTAATGCTCTCTAGAGGAGAGTGGAGGATATTTAATATGCTCTAGGGATAAGGATTTTATTCTATACCGCCCTACTTCTTATAAGTATTATAGGTTTCAGACTAAGTATAATTATATAGCTACCTTTTAAGTAGGTTAAGATAGCTATAGTATATAATCTAGCGAATTAAGAAAGAACTAAATTAATTATAAAAATTACTAACGTGGTTAATAAGCGAGTGGATCAGATAAGCGAGTAGATCAGCTAATAGTAACTATAGCATATTTATAACTAATAACTAATATTAAGCAAATTAATTTAATATAAACTAGTTAAGATCTTCTTCTTTAGATATTTCTTTAGCAAATTGATATATTTATATATTATAACTAGTATTCCTATAGACGCTATATCGCTATTAGCCTATCTCTATCCTCAGTTAGCAACCACTACTCTAGCGCGTTTCCTCCTCAATCTGAGCTATAGCCTCTCTCTGCAATTAAAGGTCCTCTACCTTAGCTATAGTGAGACTTCCTCCTTATCTAAGACGTGTTTTCTTAGCCCTCTAGCGTCTATTAAGTAGGTTGTTCTCCTCTTAAAGGATCTAGACCTTAGACCTTAATAAAGCAATCTAGTATATAAATCTATATGCCCCCTTTAATAGATACTTTATAGCTTTAATAATTAAAGTTAGTAAGCTATTTTAATAATAGGAAATTCTTCTCTTAATAAGTTTAGACTGAGAAGATGCTTCTATTAGGTTATTTAGCGTCTAAGAAGTCTATATAGGGGGTATTATTAGGAGGGACTCTAGAGGTATTAGAGTATATAACTTAATATTAAGCTTTAATAGTATACTTTCTATACTAAGAGGGATAAGCCTAGCCCCTTTAAAACCTCCCTAGATGTTTTTAACTATAAGGGCTTATATAAAAGCCTTATAAAATATAGGGAAGAAGTCTTCCTTTATAATATAGGTATTACCTTAGTATATCTTATCCTCAATTTATTAACTATATACCTTCTTTAGTAGTCTAAAATACCTAACGTCTAAGGGCTAAAGTAAATAAGAGGAATAGGTTAGTATATAAAGTATAATAATATTGTTTTCCTTATAATATATCTTAAAGTTAGTAGTATAGTGACTTTTATACCTATTAATAATAAGGAGGTAATATCTACTATTTATATATAGTTTTATATACTAATTAAAGTGCTAGAGCTAATTTAAGCCTCTTTTATTTTTTTTCTATCTATTTTTAGATATTATAATAACCTAGTTATATAGGAGACCTATTTCTATATACTAAGTAGAGAGGTAATATTACCCTAAAATAATAATATATAGTGGAACGCTATAGCCTAATAAACTAATAGCCTAAATAACTATAACCTATTTATAATTATTAGGCTATATTATTTTTATATTTAAATGCCTCTTAGCGCTTATTATAACTATTTTAAATACAATCTAGCCTATTATAAACCTAGTCTTATTAAAGTTATAGATATCTAAATCTATAATACTATATTTTATAATTATATTTACTATAAGCTAAAACTATATATTTATTATATCTAGGTCTTTATATTAAGCCCTTATATAGTTATACTTATAAAAAAAGTATATCTAGAGCTATAGTTATTACTTAATAAAGTTTAAGGCTTAATGCTTCCTAATAGGGGGTATATTATAATTAGTAAGTAGTTAATTAGCTATATCTTTTGTACTATTAATATAGAGAGGAAATAATTAGAAATCTAAGTTGAGAATATACTTAACTAGCTTCTCTTCTTTAAGTATAATTAAATTTTATAACTTAGGTATAATATTATATTATAATCCCTTTCCCTCTAAATAATAACGTAAAGTTAAAAAGGGCACTAAGTAGATATAAGATATAGCTTAAATACTAAGAGTTAGTATCTTCTTAATAGCTTAGATTGCTAAGTTTATTTAACCTTTATTACTCTATAATAATATATTTAGTTATAGTGTGATATAATATAGAAGTTAGAAGACGGTTTTGCGCGGTCAGCTAATCTACTTACTTATCTAATCTACTTACTTATTAACCACGTTATATATTAGAATAAATAGTTAGGTTTTACTATTAAGAAGAAGTAGGATAATATATAAGTAACTATCTATATTATATAGCTTATCTCTTATCTAATCTGCTTATATATAGTATTTCTATTACCCTTATAACTATTCTATAGCCCCTCCTTTACGTTATAAGCCTCTTACTTATATAGGCTCTCTAGCTAGACGTATTTAAAGTTCCCTTTAAGTTCCTTAATAATATTCTTAAGCGTCTAAATATAAAGAGCGTTAACTTTATAGCGTTATAATAGAAGGAAGCTATACTTAACTAGCCTATATTAGATATTAAGTATTATAATTTCTATAAGATATAGTATAGGATTCTTCTTATTATAGGAATCTAAGACCCTTCTTATCTATATTTATTAAGAGTTAATATAGGTAGTAGGCTATATAGTATATTCTATATAATTATCTCTAAAATTAAAACTCTATACTCACTATATATAGAGGGTTTAGAATTATATCTATATAATTATATTTTAGGATATAGCCCTAATATATTTTAGGAAAGCTATTAGCCTATTTATATTAATAAGGACCTTTTAAGGATAGCCTTCTCCTAAGTCTCTCACCTTAAAGACCTTAGAAGGTTTTACGCTTTAGTTAGTAATTTAAGTCTATAGTAGGATGAGAACGTACTAATTTATATAACTTAAGGAGATATAAAAGAGTGGGAAAGCTAGAACGATATATTAGAATTATAAAAAGAATATAATAAGCTTTAAAAGAACTATTAAGCTAATAATCTACTAATTAAACGGACTATAAGTAAGATCTATACTATTAAGGATATACTTAAAATGCTTATAATTAAGGCTAAAAGGGCGTAATACTTTAAGTAAGCTGACGACCTATGAGCTGCTAGTTAGCTAATATCTATTAATCACTAGGAATTATATGCGCTCATTTAGAAGCAAGCGTATATAATAAGTTCTAAAGTAGCTACTATTATTAAGTAATTCTTAGGCTAGCGAAATCACACTATTAAATAAAGCTTAATAGTATTTATATATATAGTAGTAGTATACTTATAAAACCGCCCTAAAGTGGCTATAGAACTAGCCTATAAATATATCCTAGGATATATATCTTAGCTACTTTAAAAGGATAAGATTATATTACCCTCTAGGGTTATATAAACGCTCTTAAGGTGTTTACTCTATACTATAAGCTTCTACTATAGAGGAGGCCTAACTAGATATATATATAGATAGTATATAATTAAAATAAATAACTTTAACTAGCTATTTAATTATCCTAAGTGTGTCTAGTTTAGTATACCTATAGAGAGCATTATTAGTCTATTAAGCTAGAGTAACTATATTAAACGTCGCTATAGAGCCTTATACGCACTATATACGTCCTAGTTCTTAATAATAAAGGCGGTCTATAAGTCTAAAAGAAACTATATAGGCTGAGGTTTATAACCTAAACCTGAGAAAACCCATTATCTACTATATAGTATCCTAGCCTCTATTAGCAATAGCTACTTATAATATACTAATAAAATATATAAGTCAAATAACGCTAAGGGAGTTTTCTAGTATAGGTCTTATAAGTATAATAGAGATATAGAGGTTATTATTTAGGGATTTAACTTATAGT